GCAAGAATTTCTTCCTTTGGGGCACTGACTTTGAAGCAGAAAGAGATATTTAAACTAGTACATTAATGTGACATTCGGACAATGCACTAGCCACCTGATTTCTCCCCTCCCTTCCTTTTTTCATAGCCTGTATGTTTCATTATGCTTTAATATGTGCATATTGTTAAGCATCCAATTAACACAGTCTCCCATCCAACTGGAATGTAACTTTAGGAGGTCAGAGTAGAAATGTTTGTCAGTACTGTACCCCCAGTGCCTACAACACTTCCTGACACACTGGATCCTGAATATACATTTGTGAAATAAGTATCTGTCCGTGGAAACAAAGCCCTCTCCTTGAGGAGTGTGTGGGAGAAGGGAAAATCCTTTACAGTGGCACGATGGGTCAGTGCCAAGTGGAAAACCCGTACCAAGAGAATATGGGTAGAGGGGGGAGACCAGAAGAGCAGGCTGGGCTCTGAAGATCAGTGAAAGGCAGGGCCTCAGTGGAAAGAGAGCAAGACTTTGTTTATACGTCTCGATCTCATTTTGAAGGAGCTGATCAGAATCTATTGAGGAACAACTGCCTTCAAAAGCGCAAAACTGGTGCTAAGGAAGCAGAAGAATCCCAGAAGCGGCTCCGAAAGGCCAGGAGCCAGGGGAGAAGGTGCCTGGAGTGAACAAGTTCCCGTGGAAGTGAAATGACCCTTCATTTGAATGCAAATGCTATGTAAAAGCCAGAAGCCCCTTGACGTCAGCCCAGCCTTTGGTGGCCCTCCTATGGCCCACTACCAGTCACCTGGAAACCTGGTGTAGGACAGACAGGAAGACTGGAGAAGTCCCAGACGCAAAGAGGAACCAGTGGCGCAGCTAGTGCTGATTCTCTCTTGCGTCTCAAACCCGAGTTGGCGCTAAATTTACAGGGACCTCAGGATGGCTTAGGGAGCAACTTCTTCTATCCAAGTCATCATGTATGGAAGCTGCCTTTTGGAAAAAGAAGCGGCCATGTACCCAGGCACTCTCAGGAGCCCTGGAGGAGGCAGCACAACCGGGGTGGGCACCTCTGGTGGAAGTGGTAGTCCGCTGCCTGCCTCCAACTTCACTACGGCCCCAGCTTACCCACACTACATGGGGTACCCTCATATGCCTAACATGGATCCCCACGAGCCTTCGCTGGGAGCCTGGAGCTCGCCCTACAGTCCGCCCCGGGAAGACTGGAGTACATACCCTGGGCCGTCCAGTACAATGGGCACAGTGCCCATGAACGACATGACCTCAAGCTCTACGGCTTTCGGCTCGCCAGACTACAGCAACCTGGGCCCCACCAGCGGCGCAAGCAACAGCGGTAGCCTGCCAGCCCCGGCCAGTGAGTCATTGGTCTCCATCGACTCAGGCACCGCTGGTGCCAGTTCTCCCAGCAGGAGCCGCCACAGCCCCTACGCGTGGATGCGCAAGACTGTGCAGGTGACCGGTGAGTAATCCATCCCCCGCACTGTTCCCTTCCTCCCTTCACTGCTCTTCGTCCTGCCTGCCCTCTTACTCTTCACCACCCCCGCCTTCCCCAGGAGAGTTCAGCTAAGCAGCCCACAGCATAGCTGGCTGGCAGGATAAGTACTTCCCTCCTTTGCGCCTAGGTTCAAAGCCTGCTAAAAGTAGCGCTTGGGACTAAACCTCTCCTGGGGGATGTTGGGGCTGTTGGTTTGCTTTGCTCTGCTTGGGTTTTACCCTTTCTGGATCAGTCAAGGGAGTGAGCGCATGGGCAATGCTCCCAATGAACTACAAGGATGGGGATCCAACCCTGTCGTTGCCCAGATGGGAAAACAGATGCACATGTGATGAATGGGGTGAGAGGACAGCTGAGCTTGTCACCATGCTTGTCTGTTCTATCTCCAAATCTTTCCCCACCCTGGTGTGTAGACTCGCCAAAAACTGGTAACGCTCACTTTAGTAGGTGCTTGCTTAGCAGGCAACCGACGGCCCAGTCTAAGAAGCTTTCCGTGGCAAAGTGGCCTCAGTTACAGGACTCTCAACGAAGCTGCTGCTTCCTTCGCCCAAATTAGCAGTGTCTGAAGCCTATCCCTTTCCAATGTTCCTTCCCACCGAGGGAAGCACTGAGTGGGCGAGGTTACAGCACTGAGCTGTCAATTCATATGACACAACTCATACCTGCCAAGCGTACAACCAATATGAGTATTATTATCCCCCCAATAAGTGCCTAAAGCCCTCGTCGCTATTCCAGCAGGTGTCCACGAACTGCAGAGGCAGAATGCGAGTCTGCGACAGCGACAACACACAAGATGGCCTAAAGATCCCAATTTAAGGTCTAATGTCGCTGCCCAGCAAGCCCTGGTGGGCAACCACTGGGAGCTGGGAGCTGGTGGGGAGGGAGGCTCATAGAGGAAGTGAAGGCTCCTCCACTTTAATCTTAGACAGGGATGGGGTGATGCGCTTGTTTTCGGTGGTGGTTGTTCTCTTATCACTTTCTTATTATTCCAATACTTGCTCCCTGTTATTAGAAAAGGTTAATGACATTTGACTATCACATTCATCTCTCTGGAGATGATGTTTCAATAGTATTTGATTCAATAATTACGTTGTTCACAGTCCTGTGTTTTCTCTTCTCTCTCCTCCAAAAAGCAAAGGTGGGGGATAGAAACGTACCATGTCCTACCTCTCGGAGAGTTTTCAGCCAGGAGGAGGAAGCTCCAGTTTTATTACTAGGGTTAAAAGTAACACTTCCAAACTTGCTTAAAGGCCTGTGGTGGTAGACAGCATTAAAAAGAAAATAAGGGGGAGTCATGTAACTTTAAAAAATGAGGTTAGGGTAGGGCATCCATCCCCAGAGCTGCTGTTACACCTAATCTTGGGGGTAAAATTAACATCCATTCACCAAAACCTAATAATAAGCAAAATACACATATTTAAACGGACATAAAGAGTAGCTACTGTCTAGGGCTATACTTTGAAACATGTTAGGGGAAGAGTGTCTCTGGCTTGTTTTTAATAGAAAACAATTAGGGGGAAAGGACACGATAAGAAAATGATGTGATGGATTTTCTGTTGATGAGAGGAAAACATAACAGTTTTCTCTATCTTTAAGTCTTCCATTTGATATATATCTCAGAGCCTTTGGGTAATTTTGATGCCAAGAGAAGTTGAGAAGGAGCCTCCTCAGTCTGTGTACCTTCATTTGTTAAAGCCTCAAACCTGACTTAATCATGCCACCTTCACAAAGTTTTCTCTTCAGTGTTTAGGAGAAGCATAAAACTGAGAATGATATTGCAACCCCTTGGACTCTTGGCAACTTGTCCTATAGACAAAGCTTTGTTAGTTTCCACATCTGTTTTATTTGAACTCCTTTTAAGTTCAAATTAGTGCTGTCTTCTTCTAGCTCAGGTTGTTATTATCAACAATTTAAGAAGATGATGAATATGCACAAGAGCACCTCACAGCACACACATACATTCTGGAGATTCTAGACTCACTGAGTCTCTTTCATGATATGAGGCCAGAAACTCCACAAAAATCAATGTCATCACCCCCATTGGACACTTTGGACCAAAATGTACCCCCTTGTATGCTTAACAAACAGAGCAGGTGTTAAATGTCTGTAAAAATGAATAAATGAATGAGTCAGATCTTCCTAAGCTTTCTGCTCACCTCGGAGCATTGCATAACAACATGTGGTTTAGGGCTGAGAGGAAAAAACCCTGTGGACCACAAACTGGAAGTAGTCCTTCCTTGGATTAAGGCAATCAATGACAGTTTTTTATATTAATGAAGATAATTGAAGCAGACTTTAGTTAAAGGGGGGCACTCATTACAGCTGTGATTTCTAATGAAAGCGAGCAGATTGACTTGTAGAATAAATTACTGTCTTCCAGATGATCATAGTTTTCTTAGTATTCTATTCTAAACATGTGTCTTTTCATAACTTATAGGAAATGTATCTTATCCAAAAGTTTCTAGAATGTTAATATTTTCATCCAGTCTCATATTTTAAACAATGCCAGTGCATGAGACCAAGTGGGTTTTTTCCCCGTTTTCTTTAGTACAGAACTGTGACCCTGTGTGAGCATTGGTCAGGCACTGTCCTAAGCAGAGCTGGAAAGAAGCTTCTCTGTTTACAAAAGGAGAAAGAATTTTGATTGATTCTGATTAAGCCATTCAACACTAAGGAAATACTTTAAAAGTTGTAGTCAACTGGGACACTTCACTTAATGATTCTTGAGGCTTATCATTGTCTTCCTTGGTCTTTTATATTTCGTTGGACAATTTCTTAAATGAATTTGGATGTGATTTTTTAGTTAAAAGCCATAAAGGATTGCCATTAGGTGAAGTCATCATGGTGGTACTGCCTGTGTAAGAAGACTGGTTCTCCTCATCTTTGTCTCCACTGTCATCACCATCATGACCCCAAAGCTCTGTGCAGCTTTCCTGCCTAGCATCACTTTAGCCATGAGTCTCTCCACTGAGCACCATTTCAAACACAGTTATGGTGACTGTAAGTCATCCTATGAGGTGACATTGCCTAATGAACTGTGAGGGCACTGTCTCCTGGGTGCTGGGAAGGACCACTGTGAACTATGGAAGTGTTTGTTCAAGTCTTGGTGGAAGAAATAATGAAATTCTTACTTCAAGGGAATGGAAATAGCTGTTTAATACATCTTAGACTCTTTTCCAATCCTAAATTAACTCACAATATCAGCTGAGAAGGGAATCCCTTGGTCTCCAAATGTCATTGTCTCAGGGAAATTGAGGAACTTAATAAAAACAAGTATTCTTCATGCTTTTGGGTGTTTGGTTTTAGTTATGGGAATATGGACATTACGCCCTAGCAGAAAGTGTCCACATCCCTTCAGTCATTTCAGGGGAAGAGGAAATGGGGGGAAAGAGATGTGGTTCTGAGAAGGCAGCACAAGACGAGTTCCAGGAAATTTCAATGTCTTTCTTTTTGTAAACTGTGCAGGTAGTACACTCCCCTGTCTTCTTGGGGGTTTCGGCCTTATCTATCAGATCGGGGCCGCAGACCCTCTTTAGCACTTGTTTTGCTTTGATGCATCTAAGCTCTTCTCACCGCTCCTTTCTTTGGAGGTTATATTGCCGGAAAGGGTGAGCATTTTCATGGCGAATAAAGAGGCCTGCTCTTGACTTTATTGTCCTCAGAAGAAACTGCAAGAGGGGAATTTATGACCAGTGGGGGTGGGGAAGGACCACAACCTTTCCAGAGTTCTTGAAGTCTGCTTACATTTACTGATTAATTGACCAAACTGAAGACACAGACACACACAAGTTGAATTTTAACCTCTCTGCTTCAAGTTAAAATTTAAACTCGGTCCCTTTTTTGATCAGGAAGGGTTTTAGGAACTAGCTCCTCAAAATTATATTTTGATCCTAAAATTTGAGGTCCTAAAAACAAATTAAACCTCAGGTTTTTCTTTTCATTCTTCAGTATACATTCTGTCTTTGGGATACGCCAAAAGCCAGATCCCTGGTTTCCTATGTTTCTGTGTGGATTCAGAAATCTAGCTCAAAGTTTGGGCCTGTGAGGAAAGTTAATTGGCTGGGACCCATCATTTCAAGGGAGGAAAATTTCATTTCACTGAGTCGTCCAGAAGTTATCCAGCCATTTAGTTGAATCCTGAAGATAGATCTGTTTCTGCATCCATTCCCCCCTCCTCTTCCTGGAGATGAAAGGGTGTCTGACATTTGTTTAGGGCTTGTAAATTCCAAGCCAATTGGTTGATGTTCCTGAATGTAAAGAGGGTTCAGGATGGGATCCATGCTATGTAGCTCCTTTGTTAGGCCTGTGCTGCATCTTAACACCTCAATGGAGTTTAGGGACCGACTTTAAAGAAGTCTTTGTCCTACAGGTCGCTCCCCAAAATCTCACATCAAAAACAACCAGAGAAGATCAGAAGAAGTTTCTAAAAGCCACAGAGAAAAAGAGCAAGCTCCTAGAGGGGGTTAGAGAAACTGAAAAGAAAGGGAGACTTCCTAATCACCTCTGGAAAATTTGGAAGGAGGAATAACACTCCATTTGCAGGAGAGCGTGAGAAATTAGCTCAACGTTGTAACACAAGCCAAATGTTTGCATATCTTTCCAAAGCACGGGGAATACTCACTTCAGTCTACCTAAGTCAACACTCCCTCCTTCCCCCATTCACTATCCACTTGGAAATGAAAAATGCCTTAAGATTCCCACTGGAAAACTATTACTTTTTTAAAATAAATAATAGAAGCTGTTTTGAAGCATAATTTGCTAAGTAGCAATAAATATTTTCTTTTCAAACTATACAAATTCTTTCTAGGTAGTACATGTAACTATGTCAGGATTCCAGAATAGTTGGCCACACTTGGAATTACACTTCCCAATGGGTTTAAACTGGGAATAAATCTAGCATACTGATCTGGGAGCCAAAGGTACATGTTTTGGTCTACACTCCTAAGCTCACCAGCACAAATTCACTTACCTATACTGAACCTTGGGTTCCTTACTTATACAATGGGGATAAGACATTCTCTGCATAATTCAACAGAGTAGATAAGATGCTTAATGGGAAATAGTCATGAAAGAATTGTGTAAAATGTAATTCACGGTGGATGTTGCCATTACTGTTCATTCAATTGTTATATATGGGTGGGAATGGAATGAAATTCATGGGTTGAGTGTTTATTTTAAATGTTTGATATAACAGTAGGTCAATGGTAGAGTAGCTGTAATTTGACTGATCATTTCAGGAGAAACATTAAAAAAGATTATATATATATATATATATATATACACACACACACACACACATATTAGAATGATGGATGTTTTTATACACATCCAGTTAGATGCCATGGCCACAGATGATAATGCATTTAATGGAGACACACACATGACATATTTGGATTAAAAATACATTTGCTTTATAATTTAAAGTAATAAAAGTAAGAGTAACTGGTTCCTTTAACCCCAAAAATCTCCAAAGGAGCAGAATAAGATGAAATGTCATGCTTTCTCCCCCAACAGGGAAAACCAGAACAAAAGAAAAGTATCGTGTGGTTTACACCGATCATCAAAGGCTGGAGCTGGAAAAGGAATTTCACTGCAATAGATACATCACCATCCGAAGAAAGTCAGAGCTGGCAGTTAACCTGGGCCTTTCTGAGAGACAGGTATTACCTAACATTTCCCACATAGTCATTTCAATTGTCTGGGGTTTGGAGGAAATAGCAAACTAGAGGACAGAGGCTTTCTTCAAGCACCCTTAAACCCACACTCATCCTGTGTTGTTTCATTGGCCTTTGGATTTATTAACTATTTAATGGGTGGGTATCGTGCGAGCCTGGTAACAAGAGATGGAACACAGAGATGCAAATAGATCAGAATTCCAATACAATTCATCAATCAAGTCAAACTTTGATCTGATCTCTCGAGTAGTACTGAGTGTGAGAAGTGGAAATTTCACAACTATGGCCACTGTCTGCTCCCTGTCAGTCAAACTACAAGAGGGACTGCACATCATTGCAGCTCCATGGATGAAGCTTTTCCATCATTCAAGATAGGAAATGTAATCTTCTCTGGTCTATATGATGTTAGGATGCCTGCCTTGAATTTAATTTACTGTGAGTACTCAGTGAAGGCTAAGTTGCAGCAAAGGTCAGCAGTTTCCACTCATTCAGACTTTGCAATTACACGAGCACCTGGTGAATTTTCCCTAGTCTAGGAGTGATGCTGGAATCATAGACGTCTAGAAAGGTAAAGTCCATTAATACATTGCCTTATCTCAAGCAGTTTGCATTCTACCCATGTGTAGGCACATTAACACCACTCTGGTGTTGATTTACAACAAGAAATAGATGGTATTCCATGACCCCGTTCACCCAGTTCTATGTGTTGTTAACTGTTTAATACAAGGAAGTTTCTCTTAATGACCGATTGTAATCACCTTTGCTATTTAAATAGTTCTCTTTCATCAGCAGTCCTTGCCATCCTTATATAATTATTTCTACTGTGTAGCAGAGGATGCAAGTGAGTTGCATTCAGAGTTTTAGTCCTAGATTTGATGATTTCAGTCTCATTTCTTGCAAAATGCCTGCCCTTTCTGAGCCACAGCTTTTTAGAACCTGTAAAATGGGTATACTTCACAAAGTTACCATGAGGCTCAAATGAAGAGATGTTCATGAAGGGGTCTTGTAAGACCAGCAGTCACTGTTGACTACACTCAGGGTAGTGCCCATATAAAGTATAAAGCATTTTGTGTTTCAGGTGAAAATCTGGTTTCAGAATCGAAGAGCCAAGGAGAGAAAGATGATCAAAAAGAAAATCTCCCAGTTTGAGAACACTGGAGGTTCCGTGCAAAGTGACTCTGGCTCCATCAGCCCTGGGGAACTGCCTAACACTTTTTTCACCACTCCAGCTGCTGTCCGTGGATTTCAGCCAATTGAGATACAACAGGTCATAGTCTCCGAATGAAACAAGAGCAGAGAAACAGAAGCATCCTTCCCATTGCAGGGTCTCTTTGGCCTCTAGGATTATCAGCAGGGCAGTTGAGATTGGATGTAATTCCTTATAAAGCAGAATTCCAAACAAATGGACACACAATGAGTTGGAGATATTTCAGACTCTACCATTCAGAAACTCTCCTCGGATAATTCCTATTCTACGCTGTTATATGGGGAGCTGGGCAGGAAGTTCAGTGATAAGCTTTGCTACTTAAAGTCTAGACTCAGGAGCCCTTGCAACTTTCCTCACAATTTCAAAAACTTGCTTGTAAACAGATTTTCAAACACAGTCCTGCCCAGACAGTCCTTCCCAGAGGCACATGCGCATATATGCTCTTGTGTTTGTTATTTGATTCTGAGTGTCTGTGGTCTTTTTTAGGGGTAGGAGTAAAGTAAGCAGAAGTTTCTCTATCTCTAGATAGATACCTTTTCAAACAGTCATTAAAAACATCCAGTTTTCTTAACAAGCTAACTTTGTAAAACAGCATCAGGAGGTTATTACAAACCTGTTGCCACTGGCTAATAAAAAGGAGATCATTTTTCCCCTCGAATAAAACTTGCCTGCCATCAAATACCTAACCGTAGAACTTGGAAGATGTATCCATTTCAAATCTTGTCAGAACAATGAAATCAGACTACAACAACACATGCCAGGTTAATTGAGTTGATAGCAAGGCAGACAGATATTCACCACACAGAATAAACAGTCCTGCACTCTCAAAGAGCTGTAGTTCACCATTTAAAAGCACACAATCTGGGTAAAGAAAGTGCTGAACTGAGTAGGGTGGCCTGGAGCTTTTGTGTTGGCATGGTACACTGTCCACACATCAAAGCGGCCAAAGATTAGGCCTCTAGTTTTAAGACAATTACTTGTTTGGGGGTTGAAAATAAGAACTGTGTCTTCCCAGTCCTTAAGAAAATCTCAAAAAGAGGGCTTATAGTTCCGTGGTTCCTGCTGAGGATACATCAATTAGTGCTGAAAGATTTAAGGAAAAACCTTCCACTTTTGACCCGACCTCTTGGAAGTATATTCCTTACAACACACGTGTGAAGAAGGTATTAATCACTCCATTTTACTGATAAGGAAAATGAGTTGTGAGCATCAGGTCACTTTCCACAGACATAAAATAAGACAACTACAGATGCTGATGAGGACCTCTGCCTACAGAGGGGGATCTTCCTCAGTTTGAAAGGATAAGTCCAATTTCATTCCTAATACATAAAAGATGCACCTTTGGCTGTAACAGTTGCATTTACCTGTAAGTTCCCCTTTCTTGCTATAAGGCTATTGATGTTTCTCTATTACACTAGACTGAAAAAAAAAATGATAGCGTATTAAAGGCATTCTCTCTCAAAAGACATGTTTATTCTTTCTGAGTGCTGAAAAAAAAGATACACCCCTACTTTTATGGCTACATTGCAGTGGTATATACTGGAGGCATATAGACAGAAGATAACACTAAAGCTCAAAGGTTGTACTCCAAGTAGGCTTCAATAAGGAAGGAGGTGGGAGGGGCAAGACAGTAATGAAAACTCAGCAGTGTTCAGTGGGTTAAATGGGGAATTAAGGAGGGGTAGTCTTTGCACTATTTTTCCAATTTTCACTCTGATTTTTTTATCTGCAAGTAATTTGCAGACTTAAAAGAGTCTTTGCAATTTATTCGGTGTTCCAGTCTTCAAATGCTTTACTTAACACTGTTGATCTTATCTTCGAGTTTGTGTGCAACTACAAAGAAAGATCACTGAGAGGACCTGGCCTGTTTCCAGATAAAGAAGGAAGTAAGGCCCAAGGAAAGTTTTCCACTGTTGGCTCAAATCCAGAGAACTGGCCATTTCTCCAGTTGAAACGTTTTAATATTACCAAGCCAAGTCAAGAAGGGAAGGGAGCCAGTAAGGAAGGACTGGAAAGGAGGAATGGACTAGAAGGTGGTGTGGAGAACACTTAAGAGGTGGTTATCAGTCTGCAGAGATGCTACAAAGGGGCTAGGAATGTAGCTCACTTTAGAGAATGCTTGCCTAGCATGGAGTCCTCGGGCCAATCTCCAGCACTGCATACACGGAGCATGGAAGCTCATGCCTGTCATCCCAGAACTCAGGGTATAAAGGCTAGAGAATCCTTGGCTCTATAATGAATTTGAAGACAGCCTGGACTACATGAGACCCTGCCCGCCCCCCAAAAAATACTGCAAAAATAATTACAGCAGATTTATTACAACTCTGATAACAAAAAAGGCAAGGAATCATTACAGAGTTTAGTCTATAGAGATAGCCACACTATATAACTTAGATTCCGTCCCTCAAACAGGGATGGATTACTGGCTCTCATATTCACACTTGAATATGCTATGAGGAGACACACAAATAATTGACAATCACTAAGTCTCCCATATAATTGTAGTTAATAGGTTTGAAAAGTAGGGGCTGACCTAGGTATGTGTATGTATATATACACATATAAAATCATTAAATCTCCAGAGTGGCAGTGCAAAGCAAGGAAGTCCTATACTGTATGTCTTCAAGAACAACAATGTAAATTGATAGTATAAGTACATAGTTAGTACAATGGTGTTAAAAGGTACTAACAAACTGAGAAATAAGAGCTGGCTTTCTAGTTTTACCTGATTCTGTAGCTGAAGAGCTGTGTGATTTTGGGTTAAGTCACTTCACCAGTAAGAGTCTGTTATGTTGTTTGTTTGTTTGTTTGTTTGTTTGTTTCTTTCTTTCTTTCTTTCTTTGTTTTTTAGTGTTTTGGAATGACTTTAAATGTTTATTCTAGTTTTAACCCTCTTAATATGTTTGGGAAAGCCCCATACGCTTCTTTGACCTTTTTCCAAAAATCACACAAAATCTCAATCTCTCTCTCTGATCTTTTTTAAAGACTTACAATCTCACTGTGGGAGATGAATTGCTTTGGTCTTATCTTTGCAGAGTCTCGTGTCATCATCTGGAAAGCATGCATTTTGACTTCAATTTCACCAATCTCGGAAACTTTAGTCTGTAGCTACCTAACTAAAACATAAATGCCAGCCAGGTGGTGCTGCATGCCTTTAATCCCAGCACTTGAGAGACAGAGGCAGGTGGATCTTTGTGAGTTCAAGGCCAGCCTGATCTACAAAACAAAACAAGCAAACAAACAAAAACATAAATATCATTGGAAGAGACAGATACTTAAACTGACAGGCATTTCTCTAATCCCTTTCAAAGCAGAAAGGTCTTCTCTAAGTGGATCACATGAAATGTCCTGAGCAAAAGGGAAACTCATGACATGAGAGACGGTTGCTATAGAATAATAAGCTCAAATGACTGAGACTGAAGTTGTTGCCTTTAATTGTAGGTAAGCATGCATTTCGGATAACTCCATAAGTCAGTTCTCTGCCAGAGAAAATGTCTCTCTCCCCGTCTTCCAGTATAACCTTGTCTGACACTGTGCTAGCCTAATGGAGGAGTTTCAAAAACAGTACAAAGGTGGTGATTTAACTAAATGGCAGAGCACTTTCCTAGCAAGTGGGAGGTTCTAGGTTCAGTCCTGAGCTCCAGAAAGGAGGAGGGAAGAGAGACAGAGAAGGGGGAAGGGAGAGGGGGAGAGAAGAGAGCATCCCTGGTATGTAACACCCTCTTCTGACTTCCACAGCATCATACACACATTTTACACACATACACACAGATAAAATCAACACTATAAAACAGGGGTTTAGAACATTATTAAATAAACAGCAACAGCTAGGACTACTGCAAGAAACATAAATAACTCCTGAAGAGGAGTAAAAATCTGACTACCAACATTCCAAGTGTTCGATTTTCAATAAAAATTACTGGTTGTAAAATTATCAGTAAAGAAGTATAGCCCATACTTCACAGAAGAAATGAATGGCTACTGTGCCTGAGGAAACACAGACATCAAGCCAAGACTTGCAGTCCATTATCATAAATTTGCTTAGATGTTAGGGAAACGTGCATAAATATCTAAAGGAAAGACAAAGATTACGGACTTGGACTTCAGGTGTAGCTCAGCTGGTAGACTGTTTGTCTAGTAGCAAAAATCCCTAGTTTTGATCTCTAACACTGTATGAAACCAGGCATAATGGTGCATACCTGTAATCTCCCCATTCAAGTTGATAGAGGCAGAAAGAACGGGACTTGAAGGTCAACCTCAGCTACACAGCAAGTTTAAGGCTAGCCTAGGCTACATGTGACCCTTTCTCAAAAACACACACACACAGTTATTGGAGGATCTTTTTTTTCTTGCAGTTCTGGGTTCTAATCCAGGCTGTGTGGTGCTAGGCAAATACTCTACCACTAAGCTGCATCCCCAGCGACACCCCCTTTTTCAGTTTGAGACAGGATTTCATTGTGTAGCCCATGTTGGCCTTCAACTTTCAATCTTTCAGGCTTGGCCTCCCAAATAGTTGGAACTGCAGTATTGTAGGCATGTGCTACCATGCCTGACTACTAGAAGGCTTCAACATCAGAGCTGAAGTAACAGAAAAAGGAATCAGTGAACTTGAAACTACATATTTTTAAATGATATAGCCTGAGCTGGGCATGGTAGCGCACACTTTTGATCTCAGCACTCAAAAGGCAGAGGCAGGTGGATTTCTGAGTTCGAGGCCAGCCTGGTCTACACATCAAGTTCCAGGACAGCCAGGGCTACTACACAGAGAAACCCTGTCATGAAAAAAAAATTTGTAGTCTGAGCAACAGAAAGAATGAAGCAAAACAAACTTACTAGAATCTAAGAATCCTGTAACGTATCACTTACTTTGCCAACATGCACACTATGAAAATTATAGAAGGAGAGAACAAAGAAAATGAAGTGGAAAGAATCTTGAAGAAATGATGGCAGAAGACCCGAGCATGGTATCTTACACTTGTAATCCCAGCACAAGGAAGGCGAAGGCAGAAGGGTCGAGAGGGGATGTAAGAGCATTAAGAGTTTAAGGACAACCTTGGCTATATAGTAAGTTCAAGGCCAGTCTGGGCTACATGAAACTCTGTCTCAATAAAAAATGAGAGAGAGAGACAGACAGACAGAGACAGAGAGAGACAGAGACAGAGACAGAGAGACAGAGACAGAGAGAGAGACAGAG